TGCATATGAGAGCAGGCTGACTTGAGAGGTGTAATTACCAAGAGCTTCATTACAAACCCTTGTTGGTACTGTGTCACTGTATTCCATTTGCCAGAAAGACAGCAGGATGATAATTAAGAAGAGAAGCCTCTTGCAGTGGCTATTTTAGAGCAGTCAACTGATAGGAGGATAACTCTCTTATCAATCACCCTCGTGTAGCTTACCCCAGATCCTTTTGAGGTAGTATATAGCAGAGCTTGTCACTGGGAGTGTATTTGTCACTTCATCTATTTATTTTTTACAAAATGTTACGAAACAGGTATCTGAGAGTCTAAATCTGCAGTCTTTAGGCTGACTGCTGCTTACATGGAAGAGCAGTCCCTTTGGCTGGAATGGGTCAACTCATGTACAGAGCAGTCAGTGTGGCAAGAGACATGCTAAAGGTAAAATTACTTTATTATATTGAAGATTAATTACCACAGAGAACTGGGTGAGATTAGCCTTTAGTTCCATGGTGGAAATATTACACACTTTTAGTCTTATCACTACCTGTAGGGAATTCTAACAAATAATTACAAATATAGGACAGAATTAAGGATAAATCCCTAAATTAGAAGGCTTTTTTGCTGTGTCTGCTAGATGCAAATGAATTGAATAGTTGGATTTTTTTCTCATTAGGAAATTAATTTTTGTGATAAAAAGAGGGATAAAAAATGGAAACTTACTAGTAGCAGCTTGAAAATTGATAGTTTGTGGAGATGGAACCATCTGAATCTCAGTGCTTCTCAAAGCTACTTGCTTAAAAGCCGTTAACTTATGTAAGGTAACAAATTTTTGATTAAGGGAAAGACTGTCAGGTGCTTACAGTGATAGATTTCCTCTTCTGGTTTCCTTATGAGTTCTGAGAATTTGTCATCAAAATGAAGAATTTTGTCTATTAGAGCTCTGTACAGAGAATGTGTTATGGAGAAGATGAGGTGGCAGCTGTATGTCATGTAATACAGTGTATGTATAGTGACTGTATGTCATGTAATACACTGATCTTATTTTGATGGGTGTGAGTGCAAATAAGGATGGGTGTAATGCAAAACGGGTATTTATAGGGTTGTATACATGTAAATGGCTTGTATGTGGGCTATAGTACTGCCTTCAGAAGGATGTCTTTTGGAATTTGTCAGTTTGTAGCACACCCAGAACAAAGCTTTAAATTGAAGACGTGAGTTTAGTTTTTAGAATTTAGACATAATCACGTTTCTGAATTCCACTAGAAGTGAGCTAGCAGTAACTGATGCTCGAATGCTGTATAAAGTCTTTGGCAGTTTTCAAAGTCTAAATAATTTCATTCTCAATGCCTGAGGCTGCAGTAGAACTGATTTAATGGTATGTTCCATCTGTGACAAAGTTATACTGAAAAGTTGACAAAATTGATTATTTGATTTTTTAATACAATGAATTATACTTTATATTATCTTATGGATTTTCAAATAGAAATACTCTATCAAAAGCACATCAAGAAGTATCTCTGGCATATTATAATCTGCTACTAAGACCTACAGCAAACTAGAGAAGACTTGGTGGTTTCAAAATCATAATACTATGTTCTCTTTACCAATAATGATACAGTTTTAATTACTCTTACATTCCAAGTGCCATTGGTCTAAGAAAAAAAACTTTGGAGGTTTGAGCTATAGTTGACCTAGAAGTTGATTACTTCTTGAATACCAGAGAGGGGCCCTCACCTTGTCCTTTCTGAATTAGTCTATAATTCTTTAAACTATACTGCATTCTGAAAGATCCCAGAAAACTTATTGATTCTGAAAATCAAATCATGCTTTTTCATTATGTGTCAAAATGTTTTGACTAAATTGTCTCTGTTAGTCTTTCTTTTTAGAAACAATATATTACATGGAACTGAGGGAATTTTCAGAATCATGCATTCTTCATTAGATCTTTTCTGTTGCCTGTCAAAAATGTAGTGATCAATTATTTTGTGTTATAGATCAATTATATCTCTAATGATGTAGTAAATATGTAGTGGGAAGCTCTTATACTAACTCACATAGAAATGGCTTTAAAATAAGTATATGATCTCCAGTGGTTGCTGGAGGTGCAAGTAAGCAGTACTGGTGTTCATCATGAGTGTTACTGGACATAGAGTACCCTTGTGTCTTAGCAAGAAGATACCAATATTCTGGAATATGAGGGCATTAGGTGGACCACTAGTTTACTCCAGAGTGTCTGAATTGCTGACAGTGATCACTGGGGACCTGGAGATTGAGGAGCATCTATTAAACTATGGTGATTCAAGCCAGGAGTATCTGTAAAATCTTCACCAGGTTATCAGTCAAACCTCACTTCTGTATAACTCATCTCATTAATTTTTATGGGTACTTCTGAGTTGACGTGAACCTGTTTAGAAATAGCAGTTGGCTCATCTAATTTAATTGAATGTTATTAATGAAATTGCATTTGCCAACAACCTTGGCACTAATGCCCTTCATGTGCAGTTGGAAACACTATTTAGTTGCAAAGCAGTTGAGTAATTGTTAGCAGATGGAAGTTAGCAGGCTTGTATTAAAGTTTTTCACTGTCTAATGGCTTGAAAATAAAGCAAGCTTACAATAACCAATTACAATTTGTTATGTACTACAGTTAAAATTTCAGCTCAATTTTTGGAGGTTTCTTATTTTATGTGTTTGTAGTCAAATTTTGCATGATTTGCAGTCTACATAGAAATTATTTTTCTAGCAAATGAAATTGAAAGAAGACACTATGCAGTATTTTGTTCTAGTGGTTTTGCAGATAAATTGATACACTCAAGAAGACAAGAAACATGTATTTTTGCACTTAAAGTACCGTGCCATTACTCATTAATTTTGCATGGCTGTGGATTCCAAAAGGCAGCATATAAAGGAGAAGCTAGGCTTGCTAAATATGATGACTGAATGCTGATTCAAACCTCAGACTGCATTTCTGTCTGCTATTAATACCCTTGTCACTGTTATTAACATCTTCCTTTTTTCTTTCTATTTTTAGCTCTTTCTGGCTAAGTAGGTGTATGGGAATTCTTTTGAAACAGTAAAACTTATTTGGGGAATAAGAGAAGCAGCTCAAGGTTGCTGAAGTCTTTACTTATCTGCTGGCGTAGGCAAAGTGCAAAATATTTGCTGTTAGGCTTGAGTGGTTGGAGAATTTACAGAAAGAAGCCCAAACTTTCCAACATACGTGAGAACTGCATCCAGCCAGTGGTCAGGGCAAGTTCTGGTTCCCTGGACACAGTAGACTTGTGCAAGGCTCCTGTCAGGTCCTTAGGGAATGTTTGCCTGTCTTCCTCAGATGTGTGCAGGGAATAGGCGGTATGCTGAGGGAAAGTGGTGATGCTTCCTGGTCTTCTTCCCATACTCTTGGTGTGCAACAATACGTATCAGCACAAGGAAGTTTAATCTATTGTTCCCAACTCACATATTTGTGGCTATGTTGGCTGAAGCCTGCTGGGAATGACAGAAAAGCTTTTCTTTCAGTGTTGCTTTCAGATGAAATGTCAGCATATTGTTGCATGAAGCATATGTATCTTATGTCAACCTGTCACTGGCTCAGCAAATGGCCTTAGGCAAGTCAGCCAACTTTTGTGGACCAGTTTTGTGTTCAAGTTACCTGATGTCTGCATTTGTTACAGGTAAATGAGAAAACTTTTAGTATATGTTTCTGTACCTCATCCAAAAAAAGAAAATAATTACAATAGAATCTATTTTGAAGGATTGTGCAGTATAAGCTTCTTAGGTTATGGCAGTGCTAAATAGTACAGAAGTTATACATAAAGGTGGTACTGAAAAGTTTTGAATTTAGCAAAAGTAGGTTAAGAGACTCTGAACAGATCTCTCTGTGATGATCCATTCAGGGTGAAACTGAAAATCTCTGAAAATAATCTATTGAAGAATGGGGATCTGCTTGCAAATGTGCAATAGAAAATGGAAAGCCCCCTAATTTTCAGTTTTACTCATTTTTTTTGGCAGATGAACTTTCCTCCCATCTGTATTACTATTTAATGATCCCCTCTCACTGCAGGATTACAGAGAATCCATCCTGTGAGTTTCTTTCTCTATCACAGATGATGGACCAGATTTTTGGTTTTGTGTTTGAGTCTAGGGGAAGGACTAGTGTAATCAGACTGTCACAAGCCTTTTCTGCCTACTTTTTACAACAGGTTAAGTTTAGCAAGAATGAAGACTGTGTTGCAATTTACTACAGAGGAGTTAAACATCTCTCTTAAATTGGTGTGGCAGAGTTTTATCTACCTGAGATGAGTACGTCATCAAGCATGTTGCTAGGGAAGATGCTGCATGTTGTCTGTGCACCTCTGTAGAAGGGCAGCCCCTTTACTGAGGACTTGTCTGTAGGATTATGTGGATTGTCCACAGTGTGATTTTAGTGCCTGTGTCCTATACAAAACTTAATTATTCTCAATTATTCTCTGTTACTTTATCTTCTCTTCATTAACCCATTTATTTGCTTTTTTATAAGACTGGGTGGACAATTCTGCAGAGCAGGAATAGAGAGTCTAATTCTGCACAGCACCTAATCTGATCAGACTGACATTCATCTAGGTATTCAGACACCTTGGACAGCCTAGGAAGTGATGCACATAACCTGCAGATTATGATGTGAGATTATGACATATAATGTGAGATCCTGGCAAAACAAACAAGCAAAGAGAAATAGACCTCTGGAGTACTCTATGATAAATCATCAGGAGTAGGAGACACATGTCTATCTGTCTCACTCTGAAACATCATCTGGTCTTCCCTGTCTTCTCACATCTAATACACTATTTAAGAAATGGAGAGGAATTGGACATTTCTTTTCATTCTCTTCTTTAATTTGTCTCTATCTTCAGCCCCTTAAGATGTTGTTTTATTAATATTCTGTTGTGTGTTATCCTTCAGCAGTGGGAGAGTTGACAACTCCAAATATGTTCTTAACATTGACTTTTTTTTTTTTTTTTTATTTTCTCTTCCCCCCAGAGCTTGTGTTATCTTGGGTGTCATATTCCTCCTGTCATCTATATGTATTGTGATCAAAGCCATCCACGATCTTGCGAAGAAGGTGCTTCCAGAAGTGGTAAGGTGATTCATGTTCTTTAAAATGTTCTCTTTATTCCCTACACTGCCTGTGAGAATGAGAAAGACCAGTGTCTCCTTTCAACAAGCCCTGTTGCACTCGGTGAAGCTGTAGTAGGTGCATTTTCTGCCTGGCTGCATGTACTGGTCCTAGTCTTCAAGCAGTATTTTGTCCTTATGTGATGGAGTCTAATCTTTATGAGCTTTTATAGGCTTGATCCCATCTCTTCTGCATGGTTACCTTTATGGGCCAAATCTTTCTCAGCATAATCACTTAAAGCTTTTATACAGGACTGCAGGATTTCACTTACAGAGAGAGGGTCTCTCTGGGCGTAATGAAAGTAGTAGAATTTTATCAGGAGAATGTTTCCACAGTTTAATACTCCAATGGCTTCAGTATTTATTTTTAATGTGGAAGAAATGTATTTTTTGGATTGTATTTTTTTGTTTTCCAGCTCTTGCCTCCAATTCCAGAGCCATGTACGAGTAGCAGGAATGAAACAGGTGAGGGGAGCATGCTGGGTGAAAGAGCTGGCTTTTTGACTGGCTCACCATGGAGCGTCACAAAGGGCTTTTTTCCCGCTCTCTGCTTTCTTTTGGTTATGAAAGCCAGCCCCTACCTGGCCTATAGAGCAGCTCTCCCCAGCGGCCTTTCTCTCAGCTCTGCTCTGTCCTGTCCTGCTTGCTTCTTTTCAGTACTGGTTATTAACTTCCCTGAGCTCTACTCATCCAAACCAGCTACTCACTGGGAGAGCCATTTGGTAATGGTTCCACTCCCAGAAGATTCTTCCTAATGTGCTCAAACAAAATGAGGCTTCAGTTCAGTTATTGTATATAGAACCTGACTTGGACCTTTTGCATTTGGCCTTCATAAAGTTTGGTCTATTTGTAAATGTGTGCAGACTTTTGCATCAGGGCTTCACCCTGTCAAGAAGCATTCTCAACGCATTGCTAGAGAGAAACCTAAACTCCTCCCTTTCAACCAGGAGATGGAGGCAGAGCTGGAAAAAAAAGCCAAAATGAAATCAGCATGTTACCCACTGTTAGCAGTGCAGATGACCTAGTTGGTCCGGTGCTCTTGTAGAAACTTCCAAGAAGCTGGGCAACTACAGAAACTTTTCAGTAGTTTAGCAAAATTTGGGCAAAGATGACTAGTGTAGCAAAAACATGTGAACTAATGCATTACTGAATTGCAGCCAGGTGTGTTGTTTGACCTCAGCTGATTCATGTTCTCTTTGCATTTTGCTTTTTCTCTTTTCCAGTCTTCATAATTTACTGCCTCTTTGGCTCTGCCAGAATAACAAGACGTGTAGTTGTTTACCAGCCTGGTTCTGTCAAAATGATCTAGGTAAACTTAAAGACTTTTAATAGTCAGTTCTTATACTCAACCAAAACATTGTGACAGAACCAGGTTAGGTAGTGAACATAGATGCCATTGTGCCAGTACGGCTGAAGGAGATCCTGATCAGGGTGAAGGGAGACCCTGCAGTGATGGCCAGCTAAAGGACAGCCTCTTAACTAAATACCCAAACAGTGCATCTGGCTACAGTCTGACTCCATAGTTAGTGAGAAAATACATAGTCTTGACTCTGTGAAGTGGAAGTAAAGTAAGAAGGGAGGCTGCAAGAATAATTAAAACACCCATCTGGTGAATTTGTGGTAGTGTAGGTCAGGTTAATTTGGATGTCTCAGTCTACTTCATTGTGGGCAAATGCCCTAATAATTCCAGCAGTAGGGAAAAAAGTTTAAAAGTTGTGTCATCTTATCTCACTCTTCCATCATTACAGGTACTGTCTACAGGTGAGGACTTTGTCTCTTCATGGGGATTAATGTCTCCTATTTGCAGCATCAAAGTTATTTACAACTTATAGACATGTTGTACTTCCTAATGTTTAATTTTTGAAATGCATTTACAGCAGGAAAGAAATATGAAATCAGAGTGACAGAAAGATATCCCCAAGAGAAGATCCCATTGCATTTCATGTATCCTGTAAGAATAATTTGTGCAGATCCATTTTGTCACAGACTGCCTTGGATTCAGACTGTGGTGTGCTAACACTGCATCAAGTAGGTAAAAGTTAGGGTGGATACTGCTTATATTTGACATGGTATCAGGATAAATAAATAATTTTGTTCCTGTGACATCAGGCTGACTATTCTCACTCATTTAGGCACTCAAATAATATCAACAGTTTGAAAGATGTATCCGGCAGGACATGGACTGACTGGCTGACTAGTGGCAGGGTAGAAGCCTCATGTACACATGTAAAGGATTTTCATACCTTGCAATTCTGCCTGGAAAGTAGGTTAGAACAAGGGATGAAAAACGATGGTGCTTCTGTTCTGTGTCTCTTAAATGACATGGCAAGGATTCTCATTTCAAAGTCTTTCTTTCAGTACATCTCACTGGGAAACTGATTCAGTAAGGGTTGTGTGACAGGTGAAATATCTCTGTGTAGACTAAGAATAACACTAAAAAATGGGGAGACAGAGAGAACAGCATCAGTGCTGCAGGCTGGTGAGGTATTATACCTAGGAGTTGCTACGTTAAAAATAGTTGGGGTAAAGGATGTTATTTAATAGAGGCCTTTTCAGTTGCTCCAGCTGTGTCTGAATCTGATGCTGATTTTCTGTTTGCGTAATGCTCCCTTAGCTGTTTTGTGTCTCAGCGGAAATAGTCCTTCTTCCCAGTTGTTTGGGTCTTTGCTGATCGAGTATGTTCTCAGCTATTCTGCAGCTGCCCAGGCGATATCATTAACATCTTTGCAGAGTGGAAATCTGCTCAAATTTAATCAGTAAGGCCAAGAAACTTCTGCCTCTACTCTTTTATCTAGGGTGCTGTCTCCTACTTCTTGGACGGACCACCAATGAACTAAGTGTTAATGATACTACTTTATGGAATATCTTGCCATGTAATTTAGCTATAATGTGTGGACATATATGGAAAAATAATACAACAGTATTTTCTGCTAATGGCTTTTTGCAGAGAAGTAACCAGTTCTGCATTAAAAAAGTGACCTGAAATATTTTCTGATGGTGATTTCTGTATTACTGGGATTTCATATTACGTTGGTACTCTGATGCCAGGGAGGTATCCTTATGGTGTGAGCAAGAACAGAACATTAAGACCAAGGAAAGATAGTGTAACTCCACTGGTGTCCCAAACTGGTATAAAACTAGGGTGAAGAGCTGTGCACTAGATTGAGGATATATGCGTCAACATAAGTTTCACATGTGAGTCATAGTTGCATGATTTTTTTTGTACAGTTTACGTCTTTATTAGTCTTTCTTGAAGCAAAGGTCATTGAAGATGTGGGTACTTTTCAAAGTGTCTTGTGAAATTTTAGATGTGTGACTTCAATTTTAGGGGAGAGAATGTGTCTAAAACCCAACTAGAAAATGTTACTGTCTTCACATGCTGAACACAAAGCTACTATTGTCTATTCTAAGACAGAAATGATTTAGAATGCATTGCTCTAAGGTTCGTGGGGGATCAAGATTAATGTAATGTTAGTGCAGAGCAGCATGACTGGCTGCATCGTTCTCAGAAATATACAGTCTCTATTTACAGCTTAATTTGTGGGAAACTTTGACAGTGTTGAAAATTGCGAGCGGTTATAATTTCTCTGAATTAATTTTAATTTATATAAGTTTTGGAGAAAATAGTACGATATGGACAAGTTAAGAAATGAAACAGAACAAGCAATTCTGTATCTGCTTGCTAATTGTAAGGTGGTATAATTAAAATCCTAAAAGCATAGTCAGTCACTTCTGAATAATTCTGGACCAATTATACAAAGTTCATTGTATTTCTTGTTGCATATAAGATATATCCATTATATGCAACAAGAAATACAATGAACTTTGTATAATTCTTAATATGTATGTAGCAAGAAAGGGGGGTTCTTGGAAAGAATTAACGAGATCTTTAATGTAGAGATTTTGTTGTTCTTGAAGTAGATCTCAGAGTTGCTTTCATGAAAATACTACCAATAAGAAAGGATATAAAATTCACATGACTAAGAATTAATTTGAAATGCTTTTTCAAATGTTTTGAATGTAGATTTTCCTTTACTTATGTGGACATTTAGAAACAGGAGGTTTCAGTATTGTCATAATTTCATATGATGATTTCAGCCACAGGTCTGATGATCCTCACCAGGATTTGGAGAACCAAAAGGAGAATGACAGGTTTACACATTAATGGCACTTCCAGCTCCACTGGCCCATCCTGTAAAGGGCTTAAATGTCCACGATTTCTTGTTAGACTACAGAGAGATGCTGCTTAATTTACAGAACAGGAGCTCAGGTTTAGCTCAGTCAGGCACTTTTCAGTCACCTACTTGAATTCTCTTTTATTCCATGCCGAATGTAATTTTGCTGAAACACTGTGACTGACATCACTCCTGATCTGCACTGGCATAGAAGAGAGGACAGTCAGAGCTCCTGAGTTCCTGCATTTCTTATTAGTGCTTCTGCCTTTCTTTTCTGCTTTTTGTTTGGTTTACCTCTTTCTATGTGTTAAGTAAAAATAAATAATAGGTAGTGTATGTCACTACACATGCTTTCAGCACAGGGAATATTTTTTTGTAATTCTTTTGAATGCTTCGAAACCTTGGGAAATGGAAGGGTATTTCTCCTTTTGGTTCCCTTGCTTGATATGCCAAGGATTGTAGTTAACTTCGAAATAGCCTATAAGGCAGGATATGGATGACTAGGTAGATTAATTGGTTTAAAATATGGCTAAGTTTAATGATAAGTGATGTCTGGAATTCTGACTCCTCGTAGCGTGTGTGTTTTCTATATGCAACAGCAACTGTAGCTGTACTGGGTTATGACCTTTGGTTATCACTGACTTTCTTGATACCTTTCTTTTTAGTTTTATCTCCATTTTTAGATGAGGAAGCCTGAAAATCCAACAGGATTCAAGGCATAGGGGTCACCAGGTATATGTTCATTTTTGCAAATTACTATTGAGCGCTGAATTGATATTTTTACAGA